CCCCCCCCACCAGGGAGACCCCCTCCCCAAAATCCCCGTCACCAGGGCGGGGACATGGGCTGGGGGTTCTGCAGGTAGGACATGACCACGGCCGAGATGGAGAGCCTGCGGGGCACAGAGGCAGACGGGGGGTCAGGGACCCCCAAATTGGGCCCGGGACCCCCCGGGACCCCCCGGGACCCCCCGGGACCCCCCCGGGCCCCCCCCGGGACCCCCGGGGCTCACATGAAGCTGCTCATCATCTGCTTGGTGTCCTCGGAGCTGCGCGAGTTGGCGAAGCTGATGAAGGAGCAGTAGACGGCGATCCAGGCGCACCACTTGAGCTGGGGAGACCCCCGGGATGGCCCCGTGAGACCCCCGGGAGAGCCCCGGGAGACCCCCGGGATGGCCCCGTGAGACCCCCGGGAGAGCCCCGAAATGTCCTGAGACCCCCGGGATGGCCCCGTGAGACCCCCGGGAGACCCCCGAAATGTCCTGAGACCCCCGGGACATCCCCGGGAGACCCCTGAAATGTCCTGAGACCCCCGGGATGGCCCCGTGAGACCCCCGGGAGAGCCCCGGGAGAGCCCCGGGAGAGCCCCGTGAGACCCCCGGGAGAGCCCCGAAATGCCCTGAGACCCCCGGGACATCCCCGGGAGACCCCTGAAATGTCCTGAGACCCCCGGGATGGCCCCGTGAGACCCCCGTGAGACCCCCGTGAGACCCCCGGGAGAGCCCCGGGAGAGCCCTGTGAGACCCCCGTGAGACCCCCGGGAGAGCCCCGAAATGTCCTGAGACCCCCGAAATGCCCTGAGACCCCCGGGAGACCCCCGGGAGACCCCTGGGAGACCCCCGAAATGCCCTGAGACCCCCGGGATATCCTGAGACCCCCGGGAGACCCCCGGGAGACCCCCGAAATGCCCTGAGACCCCCGGGACGGCCCCGGGAGACCCCCAGATTCTGGAACCCATCCCGGTTCCAATCCCGGTTCTCATCCCGGTTCCCATCCCGGTTCCCAACCCAGTCTGATCCCGGTTCCCCTCCCGGTTCCCATCCCGGTCTGATCCCGGTTCCCCTCCCCATTCCCATCCCGGTTCCCATCCCGGTCTGATCCCGGTTCCCATCCCGGTTCCCCTCCCGGTCCCGGTGCCGGTCCCGGTCCCGGTGCCGGTGCCGGTGCCGGTGCCCCGAGGCGCACCTTGAGCATGAGCCCGCACATGCTGAACACCATCCCCAGCAGGTTCATGTAGTCGGGGGTCGGGTCCTCCAGCGCCGGGTTGCTCTCGGTGGCCGGGGGCTTGTACCTGCCGGGACACCGGGGATCCCGGGACACTGGGACACCGGGGATCCGGGGATCCGGGACACCGGGGATCCCGGGACACTGGGACACCGGGGCTCCGGGGCTCCGGGACACCGGGACACCGGAACACCGGGGCACCGGGGCACCGGGACACCGGGACACCGGAACACCGGGGCACCGGGGCACCGGGACACCGGCACACCGGGACACCGGGGCACCGGGGATCCGGGGCACCGGGGCACCGGGACACCGGGGCACCGGGGATCCGGGGCACCGGGGCACCGGGACACCGGGGCACCGGGGATCCGGGACACCGGGACACTGGGCACCGGGACACCGGGACACCGGGGATCCGGGACACCGGGGCACCGGGGCTCCCGGGACACCGGCACACCGGGGCTCCGGGACACCGGGGCTCCCTGCCCGCCTCTGCCGCTGTCCCCGGTCCCACCTGGCCACTTTGCCGGGTCTCCGCGGGTCCGCCATGGCCCCGCCGCCGCCGCCGCCTCTTCCGCCGCCGCCGCCGGAAGGAGCCCGGGCCCCGGTGCCGCCCCCGGTGGTGCTCGCCGCGGTTCTGCTCCCGGTGCCGGCCCCGGTTCCGCCCCCGGTTCTGCCCCGGTTCCGCCCCGGTTCTGCCCCGGTTCTGCCCTCGGTTCCGCCCCGGTTCCGTCCCGTTTCCGCCCCCGGTTCCGCCCCGTTTCCGCCCCCGGTTCCGCCCCGGTTCCGCCCCGGTTCCGCCCCGTTTCCACCCCCGGTTCTGCCCCGTTTCCGCCCCCGGTTCCGCCCCGGTTTTGCCCCGGTTCCGCCCCGTTTCCACCCCCGTTTCCGCCCCGGTGCCGCCCCGGTTCCGCCCCCGGTTCCGCCCCGGTTCTGCCCTGTTTCCACCCCCGGTTCCGCCCCGTTTCCACCCCCGGTTCCGCCCCGGTGCCGCCCCGTTTCCACCCCCGGTTCCGCCCCGGTTCCGCCCCGGTGCCGCCCCGGTTCTGCCCCGGTTCCGCCCTGGTTTTGCCCCGGTTCCGCCCCGGTTCCGCCCCGGTTCTGCCCCGTTTCCACCCCCGTTTCCACCCCCGGTTTTGCCCCGGTTCTGCCCCGGTGCCGCCCCGGTGCCGCCATGGCGTTCCCGAAGCCGCGGCCGGCCCGGGCCGAGCTGCCCCGGCAGCGGGTGCAGAGCCTGCAGTGCGGGCAGGGAGCCGTGCGGGCCGCCCGCTTCAACGGTGAGACCGGGAACGACCGCGGATACCGGGATACCGGGATAGCGGGATACCGGGATACCGGGATACCGGGGGGACCGGGGGGACCGGGGAAACCGGGATAGCGGGATAGCGGGATACCGGGGATACCGGGGGGACCGGGGATACCGGGATAGCGGGATAGCGGGATACCGGGGGGACCGGGGGAACCGGGGGGACCGGGGATACCGGGGGAACCGGGGGAACCGGGGGGAACTGGGGATACCGGGGGATACTGGGGGGAACCGGGGATACCGGGGGGAACCGGGGAAACCGGTGGGAACCGGGAATACCGGGGATACCGGAAATACCGGGAATACCGGGGGGAGCCGGTGATACCGGGTATACCGGGGGGGACCGGGGAAATCGGGTGGGGGAAGAGAGCGGGACACGGGAATGGAGGTCGGGAACCGGGCGGGGAGTGCCGGTGTGGAGGTCCCGGTGATCCCCCGTTCCCCAGTACGGGGCTCCCGGTGATCCCCCATTCCCCGGCACGGGGCTCCCGGTGATCCCCCCGTGTCACAGTACGGGTGTCCCGGTGATCCCCCATTCCCCAGTACGGGTGTCCCGGTGATCCCCGTTCTCTGGCACGGGGCTCCCGGTGATCATGGCCGCTCCCGGTGATCCCCCGTTCCCCGGCACGGGGCTCCCGGTGATCATGGCCGCTCCCGGTGATCCCCCGTTCCCCGGCACGGGGCTCCCGGTGATCACGGCCGCTCCCGGTGATCCCCGCTCCCGGTGATCCCCCGTTCCCCGGTACGGGTGTCCCGGTGATCCCCGCTCCTGGTGATCCCTGCTCCCGGTGATCACGGCTGCTCCCAGTGATCCCCGTTCCCCGGCACGGCCGCTCCCGGTGATCCCCGCTCCCGGTGATCCCCACTCCTGGTGATCCCCCGCTCCTGGTGATCCCCGTTCCCCGGCACGGGGTTCCCGGTGATCCCCCGCTCCCGGTGATCACGGCTGCTCCCGGTGATCCCCCGCTCCCGGTGATCCCCGTTCCCTGGCACGGGGCTCCCGGTGATCCCCGCTCCCGGTGATCCCCGTTCCCCGGCACGGCCGCTCCCGGTGATCCCCGTTCCCTGGCACGGCCGCTCCCGGTGATCCCCGTTCCCTGGCACGGGGCTCCCGGTGATCATGAGGCTCCCGGTGATCCCCCGTTCCCCGGTACGGGTGTCCCGGTGATCCCCGCTCCCGGTGATCCCCGCTCCCGGTGATCCCCGTTCCCTGGCACGGGGTTCCCGGTGATCCCCCGCTCCCGGTGATCCCCGTTCCCCGGCACGGGGTTCCCGGTGATCCCCGCTCCCGGTGATCCCCCGCTCCCGGTGATCCCCCGCTCCCGGTGATCCCCGTTCCCCGGCACGGCCGCTCCCGGTGATCCCCGCTCCCGGTAATCCCCCGCTCCCGGTGATCCCCGCTCCCGGTGATCACGGCTGCTCCCGGTGATCCCCGCTCCCAGTGATCCCCCGCTCCCGGTGATCCCCGTTCCCCGGTACGGGGCTCCCGGTGATCCCCGCTCCCGGTGATCCCCGCTCCCGGTGATCCCCGTTCCCCGGCACGGGGCTCCCGGTGATCCCCGTTCCCCCGCAGCGGACGGCAATTACTGCCTGACGTGCGGCAGCGACAAGACGCTGAAGCTCTGGAACCCGCACAAGGGCACGGCCCTGCGCACCTACCAAGGCCACGGCTACGAGGTGCTGGACGCCGCGGGGTAAGGCGAGCTCCCGGGGACCCCTCCCCGCCACCGGGAGCCCCCGGTGCCTCACGGGACCCCCCCCGGGCCCCGCAGCTCCTTTGACAACAGCCAGATCTGCTCCGGCGGCGCCGACAAAGCCGTGGCGCTCTGGGACGTCACCACCGGGCAGGTGGTCCGCAAGTACCGGGGACACGCCGGGGTGAGCGGGGGCTCGGGGTGGGATTGGAGGAGTGGGATTTGGGGTTTGGGGTTTGGGGTTTGGGATTTGGGATTTGGGGTTTGGGGTTTGGGGTTTGGGATTTGGGGTTTGGGGTTTGGCGTTTGGGATTTGGCATTTGGCGTTTGGGATTTGGGGTTTGGGATTTGGGGTTTGGGATTTGGGGTTTGGCATTTGGGATTTGGGATTTGGCGTTTGGGGTTTGGGGTGTGGGGTTTGGCATTTGGGGTTTGGGGTGTGGGGTTTGGGATTTGGGGTTTGGGGTTTGGGGTTTGGGGTTTGGGGTTTGGCGTTTGGGATTTGGCATTTGGCATTTGGCGTTTGGGATTTGACATTTGGGATTTGGCATTTGGCGTTTGGCGTTTGGCATTTGGCATTTGGGGTGTGGGATTTGGGATTTGGCATTTGGCATTTGGCATTTGGCGTTTGGGGTGTGGGATTTGGCATTTGGCATTTGGCGTTTGGCGTTTGGGATTTGACATTTGGGATTTGGCATTTGGCATTTGGCATTATTTGGCATTTGGTGTTTGGGGTTTGGGATTTGGCATTTGGCATTTGGGATTTGGCATTTGGCATTTGGCATTATTTGGGATTTGGCATTATTTGGGATTTGGCATTATTTGGGATTTGGCATTTGGCATTATTTGGGATTTGGCATTATTTGGGATTTGGCATTATTTGGGATTATTTGGGATTTGGGATTTGGGATTATTTGGGATCTGGCATTATTTGGGATCTGGCATTATTTGGGATTTGGCATTATTTGGGATTTGGCATTTGGCATTATTTGGGATTTGGCATTATTTGGGATTTGGCATTATTTGGGATCTGGCATTATTTGGGATTTGGGATTATTTGGGATCTGCTCCATTCCCTGCCTCCCGCAGAAGGTGAACTGCGTCCAGTTCAACGAGGAGTCCACCATCATTGTGTCCGGTGAGGGAGAAATTTTGGGGGGACCACCCTGCGACACCCCGAGACACCCCCGCACCCCTTTGTCCCAGCCTGGTCCCCCCTTTTTCCCTCTGATCCCCCTTTTTCCCTCTGATCCCCCTTTTTCCCTCTGATCCCCCCTTTTTCCACCCTGAACCCCCTGTTCCATCCTGAACCCCGTTTTCCCTTGAACCCCCCCTTTTTCCACCCTGATCCT